CCAGCAGCAACAGCTGCAGCAGCAACAGCTGCAGCAGCAACAGCTGCAGCAGCAACAGCAGCAACAGCAGCAACAGCAGCAGCCAGCTCACATCTCGGGTCTTTAAATGCCCTCGCCTCGATGCATTTTCCTCTCAAGTGTACATACAGGTCCATACTCGCGTCTGCTGCAGGAGTTGCTGCAGTTGCTGCTGCTGCTGCTGGTGCTGCTGCTGCTGTTGCTGCTGCTGTTCTTGTTGCTGCTGCTACTGGCGTACGGGGGCTGCGGCAGCCCCCAGGGTCCAACATCGAGGCAGCCCCCCTCATTTTGCTGCAGTCTTGATAGTCAATCAGCAGCAGCAGCAGCAGCTGGTAAGCTGCTGCTGCAGCAGCAGCTGTTGTTGTGCTGCTGCTGCTGCTGCTGCTCTCTGGTTGCTACTTCAGTGTTGCCGGCGCCGCTGCTGCCCTGCTGTCATCGTTGTTGCTGCTGCTGTTGCTGCTTCTGTGTGACTCCTGTTGTTGCCTTGCTGGTTTGCTGCTGTTGCTGCTGCTGCTGCTGTTGCTGCTGCTCTTGTTGCTGCTGCCGATGGTGGTTGGTGTTGTGTTTCCTGTTTGCTGGGGTGTCTGTGCAGCAACTGCTGCATGCAAAATATATATTAATAAATAAAATAAATAAAAATAAATAAAAGTAAATAAAAAAGTAAATAAAAATTTATTTTTATTTTTATTCTTTTTATCTAACAATACTGTCGGCAGCCACAAAGCCTAGGGGGGCCCCACGGCCGCCATCGAGGCAGCTCCTTCCAAACCCTAAACCCTAAACCCTAAACCCTAAACCCTAAAAATTCTAAAAACCCTAAACCCTAGATTTAAAAAAGTTTATCCGCTAGTAATCCTAAGGAGGTCGCTAATCACTAACTATCTAACCTATTGGCTACGCGTATATCTTCCCTCCAGCAAGAAGGGTTTAGGGTTTAGGGTTTAGGGTTATTGGGGTTCCTCTTCTTCCAGGGACGGGAGAAACCTCCCCGAGGGTTTGTCTTTTGTACTCCCTTGGCTAGCCACGAGACTAAGCTAGCTAGCTAGCTAACTCAATACACTCAGCAGGCAGCCAATGACACCAATGACAGCTAGCTAGCTGGATAGCTGGCGGTGTAGCTTGCTGGCTGTGGCGAGCTACGACAATAAGCTGGCTAGCTAGCTAGCTGGCTAGCTGCGTCGCAACAGGGCTGGCCGCCATAGCCACTGGCTAGCTGGCCAGCTAAGAGCAACCCTAAACCCTAAACCCTTGACTGGATCAAACCCTAGAGCGTAATACCTGTGCAAACCCTAAACCCTAATTACTAAACCCTTGACTATGAAAACTTTACTGCCCTCCACTACTGTGTACAGCCAGCCATTCGTAAACCCTAAACCCTAAACCCTAAACCCTAAACCCTAGACCGCAGGTACGGACAAGAAAAACAAGACTAAAGTAGACAAAAAGTTCGCCAAATTTTTGTTAATTAAAGCGGAGGGGAATTGAGGTGTACGTACACCTCAAACCCTTATCCTATCCATACGGATAAGACAGCTGGTTAGGGTTTAGGGTTTGCTTATTATAGCAAGAAAGCTACAAGCTATAAACCCTAAACCCTAGATAGCAAACCATAGTTCTTCTCCCTCACCATCGAGGGTTTAGGGTTTATGCCTGGATACTCCTAGCATAAACCCTAAACCCTAAACCCTCAGAACCCTTTAGGGTTAGCTATATGTAATATATAGATAGGTAAGGAAGAAGTAAATAAACCCTAAAAAAGGGTTTATATTAAATCCAATAAACAAAATAAATAAATAAATAAATAAATAAATAAATATATTAATTTATTTATTTATTTACTAGTATTCCTTTTTTTAAGAGAAGATTTAAGGAAAAGAAATGCCCAATAAGAATTAAGAAATAGCCAAAGAAGAAAAGAAGAAAAAAAAGAAAAACGTCTAATAAAAGGTATATTTGCGGTGTATATACAGCTATTATTATAAATAAATTCAATTAATAAATGAGGTAATATAAAGAAAGGGATAAATATTAATCTATATAATATAAATGTTATTGCTGCTATATAATTAAATAAATTAAAATAATATACACAACAACAAGAAGGAGAAAAAGAAGAAAAAGAAGAAGAAGAAGAAAAAAAACAAGAAAATATATTCTGCATAAAAAACCAACGAAGATGAACAAACGGTGTTGACAATTCGCTCAAACATAATGCTGCAGATATACCTAAAAAAAAAAAAAAAAAAAAAAAAAAAAAAAAAAAAAAAAAAAAAAAAAAAAAAAAAAAAACAAAACAAAAATAAATAAATAAATAAATAAATTAACTAATTAATTAATTATATTAATTAGTTAATTCATATAAATAAAATAAATTAATAATTTAATTTAATTTAATGTACTAAATAGAAAGAGAGATACAGAAAATACGCCAGTATAATGATCATCTACCACTTTAGTGTTTTAGGGTTTAGGGTTTAGGGTTTTGGGTTTAGCTAGGGTTTAGGGTTTGTTGTATACCTGTCATTTTTCCTATAGGATTAATAAGATAAGAAATCATAGCATAAAAAGATAATAATGCATGCAATAAGAAAGCAAAAGAATGAATATCTTTATTCTTTATACACTCTATTATATCCCATAGAAAATATCCACCCATTATATATGCTGCACGAACAAACCCTAAACCCTAGCTAAACCCTAAACCCTAAACCCTAAACCCTAAAGGTTTAAGAGGTGAGTAAGGGTCTTTTCGTCTTTACAGGGAAATTCGAGATATATTCTGCTGCTGGGAAGGGGTGGCTACCAACAAGAGTTTAGGGTTTAGGGTTTAGGGTTTAGCTAGGGTTTAGGGTTTAGCTAGGGTTTAGGGTTTACCTAACATATCAAGAAGGAAGCTCTGATGATGATAGAAGGCATTTGTCTCTGCCCAATCCCACACATAAAATTTAATTGTTTGTAGAATTGTTTGTGTCTGTGTGGCTGCTGCTGCTGCTGCTGCTGCTGGTCCTGCTGCTGTTGCTGCTGCTGCTGCTGTTTCTATCCTTGCTTTCTCCATTGTTGCTGCTATTACTGCAGCAGCAGCAGGAATTACTATTAATGCATGCAGCATTGCTGTTGCATTAGCACGAGCATTAACATAATAAACCCTTAACTCTTTAGGTGTTGGTTCTGCTGCTGTTGCTGCTGCTGCTGCTGGTTTGTTTGCTGCATCTGCTGCAGCAGCAGCAGCAGCAGTTGCTGCTGCATCTTTCTTCAACCTGCGCAACCCTGAAGATGAATCCCCGCTGCATTCTGTCTCCTCCTGCTCTTCCTGCTCTTGCTGCTGCTCCTCCTCCTCCTCCTGCTTGTCCTTCTGCTTCTGCTGCTTCTGCTGCTGCTGCTGCTGTTTTTGTTTCTTTTTTTGCTGCAGATAAAGATTTATTTTATATTGATGATTTTTCCATGCTTCTTTAGTAAGAAAGAAGAAAGGGAGTTTTAGGGATAATTTCTGGTGTACGTACACCCAAAAAAGAGTACAAATAAGAAGAAATAAAAAAGAAAAATCTGTCGGCAAATGTATTAATGCATCTATTCCTTTACTTAAATCAAACATTTTAAATAATATGCATGCATGCAAATTAAAAACAAAAAAAAAGAAGAAAAAATAATGGGGAAAGAGGGAGGGAGAGAAGCTGATGCCTAAACCCTAAACCCTAAACCCTAAACCCTAAACCTTAGGCGGGAGAAATAAGGGACAAATATTAGAAACAAAACAAGCAAACAAGTTAAATAAATGGTATCGTAAGAAGAACACTGGTAAATGCATCTTTATTAGACAAGCTACTGCTGCTGCTGCTGCTGCTGCTGCTGCTGGCGGGTGTACATACACTAGAAAGCCATATTTGTATACAGCGCGCATCGGCTGCTGTTCTTGCCGCATAAAAAAGAGCAGCAGCAGCTGCTGCTGAGGGGTTTTCGCCTATTAAAATTAAAGATAAAACATAAAAAAGATTAAGAAGATATTTAATTCCCTACATTTCAGGTGTACATACACCTCAATCTTCCTTATCTGCAGCAAGAGCAGCCGCCGCCGTCGGCCAGCATAGCGGGGCCCACAGCAAGGGAGCCCACACCCCCCGATCTGTAGTAAAAAAAGGGTTTAAATAGCTTAAAAAGGAGGTAAAAATAAAGAAAATATTATTTTTAATCTAATATTTTGAACAGAATTTAAAATAACCATTTAATTCATGATATCTACCCAAAAGGAAAAAGAAGACCTAGCGGCGGCAGCAGCGATGCTGCCCGCGCAGCATCGCTAGTCGTCAAGGGTATGCGACTTACCATGATTCTTTGTTTTTCCTTTGTTTATTTGTTTGTTTTGCACATTTTATTAATATTCCCCTTCAAGTTTTCTTTTTTCCTTATTTTTTCTTCCTTTTCCTGCCACGTTTACATTTCTTCCTTACTGCAGCCGCCTCGTTGGCGCCGCCGCCTCGCTAGCACCGTACATACACCGCAGCTTCTTTTCCCTTTTTTGTGAGTTGTAAACAAAGAATTCTTTTTTTAATTATTTAATTGTATTCTTTTAACTCAAAATACTCAATTAGATCTATTTAAGCATAGCATTTATGCCCTAACAGCAGCAGCAGCAGCAGGCTCCCAGTCTCGATCGACCGTCAACGACACCAGCAGCAGCAGCAGCAACAGCTGGTCTGCTTTGCTGCTGCTGCTGCTGCTGCTTTTGCTGCTTTTTGCTGCACTGTTGTTGCTAAAGAATTTGTTTTATTTATTTGTTTGTTTCCTTCAGGAGGTTCTCCTTGTTGCTGCGATGTCCGATACAAAATCTTCTCCCGCCTCAAGGAAGGCAAGCAACCCCACTCCTGCTGCTGCTGCTGCTGCTGCACCTGCTGCAGCAGCAGAGCCTGCACCATCAACTGCAGCACCTGCAGCATCAGAATCTCCTGCTGCACCTTCCCCAGCAGCAGAGCCAACGAAGCCCCCCAAGTCCTCTCTTAGCGCTCGTTTTAGCGAGGCGAAGCTCGCAACAACCATCAACAGCAGCAGCAGGAGCAGCAGCAGCAGCAAAATACAATCAATGAATTCCCCTAAGATGGTCAGCATGACCAGTGGTCAATTCCTTGCTTATAGGCAGCAGAGCAGCACCAACAGCTTGCTGCTGCCCAGCAATTTCTTCCAAAGCCGAGCAGAGATTCGCACTTGGGGAGAAGAGGAGCTCACAGACCCTTCTGTACAACCTTATGATGAAAAAAGTAGGGTTTAGTTTTTAGGGTTTAGGGTTTAGGGTTTGTTGTTGTACAGGTTTTATTTTGTTTGTGTCCAGGTTACTTTTCTAGGGTTTATTACTATGTGTGTTTATAAACAGGGGTAAAAAAATAAAAAGGGTTTAGGGTTTAGGGTTTAGGGTTTAGGGTTTAGGGTTTAGGGTTTAGGGTTTAGGGTTTAGGGTTTTATGTACAGATATACCTCATCCATTTCATACAAGTTTACCAGGTTATCGTCCTTATTTATGCCGTTATGTAGTAAATAAAGAAAACCCTAAACCCTCAACAAGAGACCCTTATCTAGGTCCTGAATTAACTATCTTCCCTCCTACCTTCCTTCCTCAATGGACACCAAACCCTAATTTTAAACCACAACCCGTCGGATATGATTGTACGTCACAAGGGTTTAGGGTTTAGGGTTTAGGGTTTAGGGTTTTTTTAGGGTTTAGGGTTTGGGGGAGGGGGAATGGTCTTTCTCTATTTCTTGCGTATTGGTGCGTGCTGCTGCTGCTGCACCTGCTTCTGCTGCTGCTGCTCCTGTTGAGTGCGTATACCTTCATGTTTCGTGTGATTATTGTTTCTGCTGCTGCTGCTGCTGCTGCTGTTGCTGCTGCTGCTGCTGCTGCAGGGGAGGAGAGTGAAGGATTTAAGATGCATCGTCTTCCTTACGTCAATGCAGAATTTTCTGCAATAAATGGCGAAGCTACGAATATGTATGGACAGGCATATCCATACACCGCATACCCTTATGGTGTACCGAGGGTTTAGGGTTTATAAACCCTAAACCCTAAACCCTAAACCCTAGAAAAAACCCTAAACCCTAAAAACATCATAAACCCTAAAATAGGATAATTATGTGATAGGGAAAGGGGTAATTATAAATAAATAACGGCAGTGTTGGGAGGATAAACAAAGAAAAGAAAAAAAGAGTCAAGGAAACAGGAAAAGAAAAATGGTGATTCTGCGGTGTATAGGCAGCTATTTATATATATAATATATATATTTGTTTATTATTTATTATATATACAGCAGCAGCCTTTACTTTTTAATTATTTAATTGTATTCTTTATTATACATTAATTATATTTGAATACAATTTAATAGCATATGCTGCTGCTGCTGCTGCTGCAGCAGTAGCCGCAGCTGCTGCAGCAGCTGCCCATACACCCGAAAATTGCCATATACGCAAACGGTCAGCAGCAACTTTGCTGTTTTTTTGCTCCTTTTTTTGTAAGCTTGTTTAGATAGGTCCTTTGTTTATTTATTATTTATATTTATTATTCTTTATTTATTATTTATTTATTTATTAGTATATTATTAATTAGTTAAATAATAAATACGCTATTTTTTTATATTAGTATTGTATACAAAGAGTAAAAATAAGGAATAAACCCTAAATAGTAAACCCTAAACCCTCACGAATAAAGAATAACGGATAAATAATAAATAAAATAAAATAAGTTAATTAATAGGAAGAAAAAAGAAGAAAAGAAAGAAAAAAGGAGAAAGAATAAAACAAATTAGCTGCAGATACACCGCAACATATCTATTAGAGACAACCAAACCCTAAACCCTAATCGAGGGTTTGCCTCTCTAGGGTTTGTTTCAGGGTTTAGAGTGCAGCAACAGCAGCAGCTGCTGCAGCTTCTATTGCTGCTGCTGCTGTTGCTGCTGCTGCAGTGGTATGTAGTTGTCTGCTGCAAAATGGCTTGCTGCACTTAATCGGAATCGTTGCCCTTCTGCTGCTTCTGCTGCTGCTGCTGCTGCTGCTGCTGTTTTCTTTCTTCTTTCCTTTGCTGTCTTGCCTTCTCTTCTGCAGCAAAGAAGCAGCAGCAAAAACAATACATAAAAAATAAATATAAATAAATAAACAAATAAACATATAGAGACAGATAAGGAGAGACAGAGGAAGAGAAAAGGATAATAACACAAATAAACGAGTAAGAAAACAAAGAAACCTGCTGCTCCTGCAGCAGCAGCAGCAGTAGCAGCAGACAGTAGTGTACATGCAGCAACAGCAGCAGCAGCAGCAGCAGCAGCAGCAGCAGCAGGCGTATTACTTTCTATTTGTTTTTTTTTCTTTTTTATATTAACATAAGTCCCTCCTGCCCATGAATCTCTAGATAAAGCTTTCTTCTGCTGCATCTGCTGCTGCGCTTTCTTTATAGTACGAACATCCTCCTGCAGCAGCAGCATCAGGAGCAGCAGCAACAGCAGCAACAGCAGCAGCAGAAGCAGAAGCAGAAACAAAAGAGAAACAGGAATAGATAAGGATAATATGCTGCTAAGAAAGAAAAGAAAAGTCTATCAATTTCTTAACACCAATTAGGGTTTAGGGTTTAGCGTCTAGGGTTTAGGGTTTAGGGTTTAGGGTTTAGAGCTTACTAAGACTTTTTGTCCACTGATTCTTTTAAGGGCAGTTTCTGCTGCTGCTTCTAATGCTGCTTCTCTTCCTCTTCCTTCTGCTTCTGCTGCTGCTATCCGCTGCTTACGTTCTTCTATATCCCTGCAGCAGCAGGAACAACAACAGCAGCAGCAAATGCATGAACAAACGAAACAGCAACCATAAATACTGCAGCAGCAGCAGCAGCAGCAGCTGGACCACCAGCAGCAGCTGTTGCTGCTACTACTGTTTTTGCACCCACAACAGAAATGTATGGAGATTGCTGCTAGTGATTTGTCTATTCTAAACCCTAAACCCTAAACCCTAAACCCTAAACCCTTACTTGAGTGCCTGTTGTAGACGTCTTTGTTTATCTCCTTTTTTGCCATGTTTTAATGCCTTGGGTATTTTATCTCCTTTATCTAACACAGAAAATGCAAATTCGTCATTTGCTGCTGCTGCTGCTGCTGCTGCTGCTCCTGGTGCTGCTCCTGTTGATCCTGCAGCAGCAGATGAAGAGGTCTGCACCTTCGCCTTCTTTGATTCTTGCTGCTTCTGTTGCTGCTGCTGCTGCTTTTGATCAGACTCTTGACGCTTCCGCTTAAGCTGCTGCTGCTGCTGCTGCTGCTTCTGCTTCTGCTGCTGCTCTGATTTATTTCCTGCTGCTGCTTTGTTTTTCTTTGCGCCTGATTGCTGCCTCATTGCTTCAATTTTTGCATGCAGCCGCCGCAGCAGTTCTTCTCTTGTTGCGGACATGCCAGGTTGCTGCTGTTGCTGCTGTTGTTGTTGTTGTTGTTGCTGCTGCTGCTGCTGGTTCCCTTTCTTCTTGCCCTGCTTTTGCTGCTGCTTATGCAGCAGCAGCTTTCGCTGCCGCTCCTCTTTTGCTGCTGCTGCATCTTCTAATGCTGTTGATGGCAGCAAGGACGCTAAATTGTATCGAACTGTTTGCTTGGATCTACGGATCTGTCCTCTACTGTGCCGCTGCTGCTGCTGCTGCTGCTGCTGATGCTGTTCCTGTTGCTGCTCCTGGGGTGCCTCGTAAGGGATCAGATTCAGCAGCATACTCAGCCGATGCTGCCAGTGCCATGCAGAAGCAACAAGGTCATCCGCTTGATTGCTGCTGCTGCAGCAGGCAGGGGCCCCCTCCTGGGGCCCCTCCCTCTTTACTGCTGTGGACGGTGCTGCTGCCACGGCCATTGCTGTTATTGCTGCTGCTACTGTTGCTCCTTCTCCGGTTTATTGTGCTGCTGGAGTTAGTACTGTAGCAGCTGTTCTTGTTTTTGTTGCTGCAGCTGCCACTTCTGCTGCTACAGCTGCAACTGCCACTGCTACTGCTGCTGCCGACGCCCCACCGAAGTTAGGGGAGTTCGGGGCCCCTACCTTTGTTACTTCCCCTTCCCTTTTTTTAATTATGTAAATAAGGAGACAAAGGGAAAAGAAAACACTGCAGGAGGTTTAATGGTGTCGTTTACAGCGCCCAGGGGCCCCTGCTACTGTGGGGCGGGGGGCCCCCCTCTGCATGCAGCATCGACAGGCTGCTGCGGTGATCTGTCGTTGCATTGAATTTAGTTTTGCATTTATTATCTATATTTAAAATATTTTTGTAGTTTTTAATTTATATTTCTCTTCTCCTTCTTGTTTTCCTTTAAGATAGCTGTCTGTACACCCCCGATATGACCCGCACTGAGGCCGATGGCCACCTCTCCCTCTCAGGGGCCCCCATACCTTCTGGGGGCCCCCAACCTTCTGGGCCTACCCCACATTCTGGGGACTGCGTAGCCTCTGGGGCCCCTCTACCTCAGAGGCCCGCCTCGCCATCTGCTGCTTCCGGATCTCCTGGGGCCCCTGAACCTTCTGGGGCCCCTGTGCCCTCCGGGTCCCCTGCAGCACCTTCTTCGTCTTCCGTGCCATCTGGAGCCCCCGTATCACCTGCTGGTGGTGTAGGAGGGGAGGGGAGGTCCCAAAGAAGAAGGGAGAAAAAGGGGGGCCTGGGTTTAACTCGTGATACCCGTTATACAGTAGAACAAGTACTAGATGGACGTACACTCCGTTATATAAAATCTATTAGTAGAGCAGCATCAGTACGTAAAGTCTTCGGGGCTATTAGCTGCGGTAAAGAAGCTAATGTATACTTTGCTCTTGGAGAAAGGGAACAACAGCAGCAGCAGGAAGGAGAGGAGAAGGAGGGACAGCAGCAGCAGCAGCAGCAGCAGCAGCAGCAGACAGCTAAGGAGAGTTTGGTACCCTTTGCACTTAAGGTGTATAGGACTTCTATTTTATCTTTTAAAGATCGTAGCAGATATGTTCAAGGAGACTTCAGATTCGAACATAGCTACTCACGGTATGCTGCTGCTGCTGCTGCTGTTGTTGCTGCTGTTGTTCCTGTTGTTGCTGCTTCTGCTGTTGTTGTTACTGCTGCTGTTGTTGTTGCGTCTGTTGCTATTAAGTGTTGAAGACACATGCAAGTGTTTGTTGTGCTTTTCCATACGCCTGTGTGTTGTATTCCTCTTGTTTATTCTGTGTGTGTTCTTCCTGCTGCTGTTGCTGCTGTTGCTGCTGTTGCTGCTGCAGGAATCGTAATCCTCGTAAGATGGTGGCGGTGTGGGCATCAAAGGAGTTCCGAAATTTAATGCGCTTTGCAGCAGCAGGAATTGCATGCCCTATTCCTGTTGCATGCAAAAGCAATGTGCTGCTTATGCAATTCATAGGCAGTGCCACCTACAAAGGCAGCAGCAGCAGCAACAGCAACAGCAGCAATAACAGCAGCAGCAGCAGCGGTGATGTTGGTGGTGGTACGGAGGGATCGAATGCTTCTCTGAAGCGGGAAGCAGACACAACAGATGCTCCTGCAGAGACAGAGACAGATACAGATACAGATACATCAGAAGAAGGAACAGATGATGATGCTGCTGCTGCAGCAAGAGCAGCAGCAGCAGCAAACAATCCTCAAGAAGAGTTATGGTGTACAGGTACTTTTTCTTTTCCGTTTGATCCTTCGCGATTATCTTATTCTGCTGCTCCTCGTCTTAAAGATTTATTAAGTATATCTCGTGCATTTGCTGCAGCAGCAAATATACGGTGCTGCTGCAGCTGCAAGAATTGTCATTGGGGTTGTGCTTCTGCACAGACAGCAGCAGGATTTCGTCTGCTGTACGTACAGATGGTGCTGCTGCTGCGTACACTCTTTCATCGTTGTCGTTCTGTCCATGGAGATTTTAGTGATTATAATTTATTATATTATAAAAAATATTTATATATGATTGATGTTAGTCAGGCAGTAGAGAAGGCGCATCCTCAGGCTCTTGATTTCCTTAAGAGAGATTGTAAGAATATTACCCATTTCTTCTATAGAAGTATTAATAGCAGCAGCAACATCAGCAGCAACAGCAACAACAACAGCAGCAACAGCAGCAGCAAAAGAGGAGGATGTAGTAGTAGGGATGATAATGAGTCATGTATATGTGCTAAGGATTGTAAGGAAACAAGAGATCAATGGGATAATTTCCCTCCTATAATAAATAAATCTTCTCCTTTTTATTCTTCTTTTCCTATTCTCTCTGTTAGACAACTCTTTGAGTTTATTGTACGAGCAGAATTACCTGAAGAACTTAAAGCCCTACATCACCAGAAGCTGCAGCAGCAGCAGGAGCAGAAGCAGCAACAGCAGCAACAGGAACAGCAGCAACAGCAGTTTGGGGTAGAAGGTACCAGCACGGATGTATGCATGCAGGAGGCATTGGCTGAGTATTTATTATCTCTTACTAATAGTGGAGAAGAAAGAAACGCAGCAGCAGAAGAAAGCGACAAAGAGCTAAATGCAGGTAGCAGCAGCCGCCGTAGCAGCAGCCGTAGCAGCAGCCGTAGCCGCAGCAGCAGCAGCAGTAGAAGCACATCTTCATTATTAGAGCAGCAGCAGGTAGAGGATGCAGTTTTCTTACAGAGTTGGATTCCTTCAAGTTTACATGATGTATCTGATTTAGCTGCGTTAGATAGATATGCTAAAGGAACAGCATTACCTTATGATAAAGAGTTGTTGCATCTTCATGATCTTGTACATAATCCCCCTACTCGTGCTGGCAGCAGCAGCGGCAGCGGCAGCAGCAGCGGCAGCGGAAGCGGCAGCAGTGACAGCGACAGCAGCAGCAGCAGCAGTGGGGAAGAATCCGACAGTAGCGAACCCGAGGGTGATACAAATAAGGAGAGAAGAAGAAATAGGAGGAGAAGAAAAGGGAAAGAAGAAGAAGATGATGAATTAAATGTAAAGTTTACAGGGAAAATACCTGAAGGAATATCTCGTAAAGAATGGAAGAAAAAAGTAAAAGAAATGAATAAAGAAAGAAGATTGCATAAAATACCTAAACATCTTAAGAAAAAATACAGAAAAAAAGCAGCCAACAGATAAATATACGTGCATGCATGCATGCATGCATATATCGTTGCATGCATGCATCTTTTTATGCGCACATCGTTGCATGCATGCATGCATGCATGCGAAGTTGCAAGCATGCATGCATGCGCCGCTGCAGCCCCGTTAAAGATAAGAAGAGAACATTTTTCAACGGACTCCCCTAATAGCTCGGCGTTATATTTGCTGCCCTGCTATAAGGAGTTTACGACTACTTATATAAATGGAAGTGTTGAAAGGCAATTATTTAACTCTATAAACCGTCGTTTTATTTATATTCAGGTGTATGTACCCCTCATTAATGATAAGTACGCCTTGCAACTTCCGTCTGCCTTTAGGCCTTGGTGCCACTGTTGTGTTCAATGCTCTGCTCTCAAGTGTACAGTCAGCCGGGCCTACATGTATATGAGTGCTGCTAAAGGGAAGGAAAATGATGCTGCAGTCATTAATTATTGCGAAATAGGAAGAAGAAAGAAACCCTTAAACTCCCTGTCTTAGGCACAAAACACGGATATACCTTCCTTCCTTCTTGTGCTGCTTGAGGTATAAGGGGCTATTCTTGCCTATCTGTTTGAAATACAAGAGCATTAAAGAGTGGTGTTTGCTGCTTTACGGAATTACTGCCTTCGTCTCACTGTATGTGTACAGCGAACAAAGAATGTGCCTGCCTGGTAGGAAAGCTATATTTGTGTGTACACCTTAACGGCAAGTTAGGAGGTACCCTGAATAGAGTCAATGCAATATAACGAGCTACATTAATGCACGAATGCGAAAAAACGATTAACTGCGAGTTTTTTCTTCGTTCTTTCGAATGCATACGCATCCGGACAGCTGCTAAGGCAATAATAATCGTGCAAAGTAAAAAGAAGAGGCGAAGAAAAAGAAAATCTGTCCGCAGTTTTAGTGCAAAATACTCTGAATATTCTATGAAATTAAGAACGAAAAGAACGAAAGCCCCGCAAGACCAAACAGAGGAGGCTAGACACCTGGTGGTGTATGTGTGTGTGCGGCATAGCCAAGAATTGATCTTTTTCATTCAAAACTGCAAGAAATATCCTGGTAAGCGGAGGTTTGAAGACTTGATTCATGTTTTTCCTTCTTTTCGGCAGTTATTAGCCCGTTTTTGTTCATGAATTAATCTGCATTCCTGCATTTGCAGATCGTCGGCCGCAACTGCCAAGTCTTTACAGTGTAGAAGTGTGGAGATGGTAAAAAAGGAGGATGAATACATCACATTTCGATCTAATTTTCCGTATATAATTCCCTTAACATGTCGTCGTTGTTCTGCCGTCGATCCTAATGAAACGTCAAGGAAAATACCGCCATTATTCAAGTTGTTCCCTAACGAAGGGGGGCAAAAGATATATCCTCCTTCACGGGAAGAGCAAGCACATCTATCCTTAAACATAAATAAGATTAATCCCATTCATAGTCACCATCATCATCCGGCCAAAACACTTCATCGTCGCTCCAGGTCCACTCCATTGAATTCTCTTGTATACCAGCATTGGCATGAAGTACATCCTTAACTTGTTCTTTAAGATTTTTCTCTACGTCATGTTTCCTCTTCAGCTTCTCCACATAAACCATCGGTGCTGTCAATCCGCGGTCTTTCCAAACACTTAAAGGATCTGTACTAATGTCAATCATACCAGAGGCCTGCTGATGAAGATTCCTCATAGTCGATCTAGTAAGATAAGCATAATTCGGTTCTCGACGCGGTAATGGTGCTGCAGGTGCACCAGGTGCAGTAGGTACCGTAACGGTTGCAGGTAACATGAAAAACCCAGGTCCCTTAGATACTCCAGGTGCCCCAGCAGCTGCAGGGGCCGCAGATGCCGCAGATGCCGGGGGTACACCGGCAGCTGCAGGAGCCGCAGGTGCAGCACGTGCAGCAGGTGCCGCAGGTGCCGCCGGTGCAGCAGGTGCAGCAGGACCAACAGGTGGACGTGTAGGAAGAGGGGGGGCACCTTCCCTAGACTGCGAGAGTCCTTGAGCAGCAGCAAGTACTGTGGTGGATCCCTGATAAGGCGCCATTCTTGGTATTCTTGAAGAAGAAGACTGGGGATGTTTAATAGCAGCAGGAAGAGCAGGAACAGCAGAAGCAAAAGGATCGGGGATCGTACCACCAGTAAAGTGTCCACCTGCCTGGTCTCTAGATCTCTTTCGTGGAGATCTCCCTTGCGTTCCCTGCCCAGAAGACGTAGATGCTTGCTCCTCCCCTCCACGTGTTGCAGCAGCACCAGCAGCAACATCAGCCGCTGCTGCTGGTGCTGCTGCTCCCCCTGTGGCTCCTTTACCAGCACCAGCAGATATCTTCAGTGGGAAGACCTTCCGTCTTGGCAAAGGTGCCGGTTTCCCTCCTCCGGGTGGTACATCAGAAGCAGGAGCAGAAGCAGAAGCACCAGCAGCAGCAGCAGGAGCACCAAGAGCTTTGCTGATATCCACATTGGGTGGGAAGAACATTCCCACTTGTTCAGCAGGTTTATAACCAGGCAAAGAAGCCCTAGGAGGATAAAGAAGAGGTAAACTTGTTGCACTGTTTCTATCATCATCATCACCAGCGGAAGAGGAGGAAGAAGAAGAGTGCGATATTTTTATCCAAGGAGCAAGAAAACGAGCCATCGAATCCTTAGGGGGGGAGGGCCTTACTGTGCTTCCAGATAACCCAACAGGAGGTCCTGGTAATGGTGTTGGTTTTTGAAAGACTGAACGATGAACAGGAATGTGGGTCGCAGATCTCGACACACTCGAAACGCCTGCTGCAGCAGGAGCTGCAGCACCAGGAACAGTTGCAACAGGAGCTGCAACAGGTGCTGCAGCAGAAGCAGCAGGAGCAGAAGCACCAGGAGCAGCAGGATCTATGGGATAGAAACCTTCGGATTCAGGTAAGCTTCCTGGATAAGGGGGAGGAGGATCGGAGAACCCAAGAGATCGAGGTTGCCCTCCAGCTCCTGGAACAACCCACTCGGCTGCATGACGGCCTCCAGCACCACCAGCACGACGAGACACAGCAGCTGAAGCAGCTCCCATAGTTGCTGCATATGATGGTGGTGATGCAAGGGAACCAGTATCAGGATCAGACGCGGCACGTCCTACACGAACGCCAGTGAGTGTATCAATAGGAGGCAGCGGAGCAGCACCACCAGATGATTCTGGAGCAGGAGAAGGAACAGCAGGAGCGGAAGGGGCAACAGGAGCAGGAGCAGGAGCAGGAGCAGGAGGAGCAGGTGGAGGAGGAGGAGAAGGAGCGGCAGAAGAAGCAGGAGCATCAGAAGCAGCAGGAGCTGCACCAGCAGCAGCAGGTGCACCAGCAGGTGCTGCTGCTGCACTAGCCGTCTTATTTTTGTCCCCCCTCTGTGCTCTGCGTCTCCTAGGGAATGGTGGATGATAAGGACCTTTAGGCTTAACCTCCGCATGCGTTGATGGGGGAATATTCGCAGAACCAGGACTTTGTCCTCCTTCGTCCTCATCTGTTGTTGATGGAGGTGTCTCAGGTAGAGTAACAGTTCCTATAGGAAGAGTAGGGAAACCTCCTTCCCTTATATTTGCATTACCCTTTACTGATGCTTGATAAGGGACCTCAAGAGCAGCAAAAGGATTCTGTGGTTCTTGGTCCGCCCAAGGAGGAAACAGATCTCTGGCACCTAGATCCGGAGCTGATGTCGCTTGACGAGCAGCAGCAGCCGCAACAGCAGCAGCAAGTGCAGCAGATCGCCGTGAGGGAAACGACCCACCAGACTTTTTATCCATTCTTCCTCTTCTAGCTCTAGCCCCAGCAGCCAAAGCAGCTTGAACTTCCGGAGGAGGTACAGGTGTTTTACCAGGTCCTAACCATATCATCGGTACCTTCTGTCCTGATCCTGCACTGAACTCTGGTACCCATTCCTGGCCGTCATATATAAAGGGGGGGAAAGGGGGTGCGTCCGGCAGGGATGAAGCCGGTTCCCCAGCAGCAGATCCTTCTGCTGCCGCTGCTCCTCCTTCTGCTGACGCTGACTGCTGCATGGGAGGGGATCTAGAACCCTTCTTCGATGATCGCTTTCCCCTTTTTCTTCCCCTTCTTCTCGGAGAACTAGAAGTACTTGCAGTATCACTTTGCTGAGCAGGTGCCGACACGGACTCCCCAGCAGCAGCCATAGCCTGTTGAACCTCCGGAGGAGGTACAGATGTTTTGCCAGGTCCTAACCATATCATCGGTACCTTCTCTCCTGATCCTGCACTGAACTCTGGTACCCACTCCTGGCCTTCATATATAACGCCTTCACCGGAAGAAGAAGATTCCTTAGCAGCAGCCAAAGCCTGTTGAACCTCCGGAGGAGGTACAGATGTTTTGCCAGGTCCTAACCATATCATCGGTACCTTCTCTCCTGATCCTGCACTGAACTCTGGTACCCATTCCTCATCATCATATGTAACGCCTTCACCGGTAGAAGAAGATTCCTTAGCAGCAGCCATAGCCTGTTGAACCTCCGGAGGAGGTACAGATGTTTTGCCAGGTCCTAACCATATCATCGGTACCTTCTCTCCTGATCCTGCACTGAACTCTGGTACCCATTCCTCATCATCATATGTAACGCCTTCACCGGAAGAAGAAGATTCCTTAGCAGCAGCCATAGCCTGTTGAACCTCCGGAGGAGGTACAGATGTTTTGCCAGGTCCTAACCATATCATCGGTACCTTCTCTCCTGATCCTGCACTGAACTCTGGTACCCATTCCTCATCATCATATGTAACGCCTTCACCGG